GCGCGGGCGGCCCAGGCTCGGGGCCAGCCGGGCGCGCATCCCCGGGCGCCCTGCGCGGCGGAGAGCTCAGCGGGCCGCGTGAGCCGCAGGAAAAGAGTGGACAAAGCAAGATGGCAGGGATATTAGCCTGGTTCTGGAACGAGAGGTTTTGGCTCCCGCACAATGTCACCTGGGCGGACCTGAAGAACACGGAGGAAGCCACCTTCCCGCAGGCTGAGGACCTCTATCTCGCCTTCCCCCTGGCCTTCTGCATCTTCATGGTGCGGCTCATCTTCGAGAGGTAAGAAGGGCTGGAGCGCCTCCTCCCCTCCCCCTACACACACGCACACACGCGCGCGCACACTCGCGCGCACACGCACACACGCCCCCGTGCCCCCAGCGCTCGCACTCACGCCTGCCAACCTTTGTGTTTGGGGAGGGGTTGCTGACCCCTCTTCCCCGATTGCTCCCTGGGGGCCAGAGAGGGTCTGGGCTGCCTATAGATTTTCTCCGGGGCGCCGGGGAGCGGAAGGGTCGCCTCCCGTACTTCTCCTTGGCCCGGCTCTCTCCTGGTCGCGGCCAGGGCGTGCGAACAAAGGTGAGCTCCGCGGGGCTCGCCCCTCTCCACATGCGCCCGCGCCGCGCTGCCACGCAGGGCTTCCCCGCCGAGGCTCGCCGCCACCCACCTGACAGCCAGGAACGTTCCGGACGCGCGGCCCAGAGGAGGAACCGCGCACACTTCTATTCCTTACACTCCGGCACACGGACTGTGGGGACTGCTTCAAAAGAAGTCGCCGGGGACTCTGGCTTCTGGTCGCTATTTGGTTTCCATTCGTGACTCTGAGTATCATGTTCACAGCCCTGGGAAAAAGGTGACAATTGCATTTCAGGTCATTAGCGGTTTCTTTAAAAGAGGATATGATAGGACGGGTGCAGGTCCTGCAAAATGATGATATTAAATTGATAGTTGTGTCCTTTGAATAACCATAAACTTTTTCGATACTAGAACACATCTAAAGAATTGTCATATAATTGTATAGTCCCTCGATTTGGTTGGGTATCTCTATCGTGTCACGCACAAACTTGTGTTAACTCTCATGGAATCAGTCTTAGCCACGAAACTAGATTTTGTCTGCCATGCATTCACTGGGTGCTTTTGAAACAAAACCGGGACAGCAGCACACACTTCTGTCTTTTTCTCAACTGAAAACCTCACCTTCCCCTTCGTTCTTCCTCCCCCCACCCCGTCCCTCAGTTCATCAGTAAAGGCTGAATTTCTTAGATCAGAAAGTAGAGTTTAGATTTCATTTCTCACTTCCACTCCACTCTCTTGCTCCACCCCAACTCACCTTCGTTGTTTCTTAAGCCTTTGCTCTGTTATCTTGTGTTCTGCTTCTTTTCTCCTAAAACCACTACTGAGGATGGCAGAATGTGTTTTTGTGGCTTTTGGTGCTGGAAATGGCAACGAAGCTTTATGGGAATAAAAAGTATCTTTTGTTTAAAAAAGGTGTATTTTTCAGTGGGTAGTATTGTTGCTGGAGAACTAAGTCAGCTGTTCACACGCAGAAATTTACATGCCCGCAGAAAGAGATTTAAAAACCTATTTTAAGATAATTGGGGATCCAGTACAGATATGTCATTGATCTAATCCAAAGCTGAGAGATACTGTGAAAAGTGGGTGTGTTCGCAGGTCTAGAGTTGCTTCTAGAGCAAATGTTTACTTACTGAACTCTGTATCTAACCTTGCAGTCTCTCCAACGACAAGCAGACTCTGAGGAACAGCAGGTTGCTCTGTGTTGGCACATAGTGGGGGCTCCCCACACAATCACTGAATGACATCCTGTCAGTTTTGCCTGATAATTTCTGGCTGGAATCTCACTTTTAGATAACTAATGCATTTGAAAGAGATATGCAGCCTTATGTTTTGGAGAACTAATGAACTATGTGCGGAAAGCTGCGTTTTCCTGACATCCTTCTCTATTCTGTTTCCAGGCAGTTCATTAGGTTGGAAAAAATATTTATTAGAGAGCAAGGATAACTTTGTACTTAGACACTCTGTCTTTAAAAAAAACCACTAGAGTAATAGTTGAAAACTGGAAGTTCATTTTTCCTCTTCCTGAACATTTTGTTTTTCTTTGCGTAATCCTGTGACTTGACTTACAGTCACACAAAGGGGTCAGCTGCTTTCAACTATCAGACACAGCAAATGTGCTCATATTGATATGTACAGAGTTGGTCAGTTTCCTTCAGGCCACTGGTTCAAGTAGAAGTGATTTAATGACCTGTACGGAAAGTGAAAGTTTATGATTAATGTTCAGAATAATCCGACATGAGACATATACCACAGGATGCTACTGACTTTTGGAGGGATCTACTTTATTTTTTTCCTATGGTAGTGACAGCTCTGTTTTTAGTCATTCAGACTCTCTATTCTCTGAAAACTCCAAGGTATAGTTGTATTTAAGTTAGTCTGCATGTTTCTTCTCTTCTTAAACTTAACGGACACCTTCTGGGATCCAGCCTATGGCCTTCATCCCAGTAGCACTCATCAAGGTCCTGAATCAATATAACTGAGCCAGCCAATATTATTATCACTGATGTAACTTACTTTCAGTACACTTTTAACATGTTTTTCTTTGGAGTATTATATAATGTATAACATGATTTAAAGAAGCCTGTTGTGAATCCCATTATAAAATGAAATGCTTTTGTAATAGGAACAATTCCTTCAAGATTCTATTCCTTTTATGCTTCTATTGTCATTTATTTCAAAGCTGAGAACATATCTAAGAATTACATGATTATCCCAGATCTTTATTTCCCATTAAATGGGGTCAGTAATGCCTTTATTGAAGCTGAAATTGTGAATTCAAATGCCTGTCCTCAGTCTTATGTGTTTCTTCTCTATGAAGAGAAACACTAAAGAATTGATTAAACTGGGCTATAACCAGTTGAACAGCTCTATCTTTTTGTTTTAACCCCCACTGTTGTGGTGAAACAGTGCATTGGTAGCCAGAACATGCCATGGTATAGTACCATATGGACAGCAATATGGAAACCCAGCATGGCTGGTTAAAAATGGAGCAGCCTAAGGTCCATGACTTTTGGCTGAGTCTCAATAGCCCAAAGCTTGGTGGTTTTTAGCATAGCCTTACCACTACACTTAACTCTGGGTAGGGGCCAAAAGGGCCACCGTAGATACTATTTGCTTGACAAAGTAAATATCTGTTGTTTAAAAAGAACAACTGGATGGTTTCTCTTAGAATGAAAATTGTAGCATATACCATTATGTCATATTTTTGACTTGATGACAAGGAACAAAATATTATTTAATAATGTAGCATTACCATCTATTTGATGAATTTTGTCAATTTAATTCTTATTTAGGTTCAGTAAGCCATTCTCAGGAATTATAATAAACGCTTTTTCCAACTTCACTTTTTTCAAAAACGTGTTTGCTATGGTGTTCATAAATGTAGAGTTAAAGTTCTGCTGAATCTCTGTTTGGAAATAAAGATTCTTTGAGTTATTGTTATAAAAAGTAACTTTAATGCCTGTTCCTCCTTGTGGGCTTAGGAGAGATACAGAAAATATTGGTTGGGAATCAGAACATTCAAGCTCTAGTCAAAACTTACCTCACACTGGGGCATCTCCTAATTTATCTCTGTGTATTTTTCCCATTTATACAGTGAAGTAAATGCCTTTGTAATCTAAGGTTGCTTTCACCCTCCCAACACCCTGATTCTCGTGAGTCTTCTGTATTTGAAACTTACTAATTATTATCTCGTGGAACTTTGAAACATGCTAAACATCATTTTTTTGGCAGGCAGAAGTAAGTCCTCTAAGAATAAAAAAATTTTTTTTCATAGAAATATTTTAGTCAATTGTTTTGTTTCTTGTATTTTTCAATTGTGTTTTGAGTGGGAAGAATCATTTGGATCATTATCATTTGTGTTCTAAAAAGCTACAATATTTTGGATTAGCCAACAAAGAAGATTCTAGAGAGAAAACAATTGCTCCCTTTCCTCAGACTTCTTTTTGATGGAACCCAAAGTAGACCTGGCACCTCATGTGATGACTGGGTAAGAAATGAGAAGCTCATTCCTGTTAGGTTGGCTTGCAAAATATCAAGCTGTGTGAGGAGTGCTATACTTCATGAGGCTGACACCAGACAGTCTGGCCTGGATCATTCAGCTCAAGAATGATCTGCCACCCCCATACCATTAACGAACGACAGTGTCTCAGTTGGTGGGCTTTTTCTTATGAATTTATTTAGTATCTTTGCCTTGCCAGTAGCCTTGGGTGAGGCCCTCTAGGACAGTTGGGGGAGGAGGGAAGGTGAAAGGGTGAGGGAGAGGGGAAAGGAAGAATGATGTGTTCCTGGTGATTAGGGAGGGAAGACAGAAGTGAGTGAATGGCTGCTAGGAAAAAGTCGGGTATTAAAATGGGTGAAGTTCATTACTGAAGGATGTTCCTGTAGTGTGCCTCATAATGAAGAGATGGATACAATCAGGTATATTTTAAAAGCGTGAGAACAACTTGCACACAAGCATGGTTTTTCTCATGCAGTTAGTGCTGTATATTAAACCCTGTAAATGTATCTTATTTAACTTGTTAAATGATGGTGTGATTCAGATAAAACTATGGATACCTGCTTTGCCAGATACTGATGTAAGAGGCAAGAGTTGGGTTCAGACACAAATAGGGTGCCTCTTACAGTTTCTGACTGGGATAGGAAAATTGGATGACAACGGATGGTTTGTTAGAGAACAACCTAAAATCAAAGGTGTAGTATTCTTTGCAAAACTTTCGTACAACTTTCTAATCTAGCCAAATAAAAGGCTTGCATTTACATGGTGCAATAGTTTGGCTATTTGTGATAGGTTGATTTGTGGGTAAAAGGCATAATGTTACTCCTAATGGGCAGGGCCTTAGAATGGTGGGGGGGGGGGTAGGTGAGATAACTTTAAATTATCACAAATGATTTAACGTCATCAAGGATTATAACATGAATACCCTGAGTTCGCTTACGACTTTTCTGTCGAAGATATCTGAATTCTCTATAGACAGGGCTAGATCATTTTCTCCTGGATTCCTAGTTTGTAAGGTACTGCAGAAGTGGTTGCTCTTCTGTGATGGGGAAGGGCAGGTGGCAGTGAAAGGAAAGTAGATTTTCATGTGAATTTCTTCCATTACTATTACTAGTCCCATGGTTTTGTCAGATATCACTGCACCTTCTTCAGGCTTTACTTGTGTATTTTACTCACTTGACTAAACCTGAAGATTTCAAATGTTTATTAC